CCTGCGTCCTAATCAAAATGCAAACAATACAGCGTTAACCACTTTAAACAAATAATCTAAGTAAGTAACGACAAGAAACATGCTGGTCGTGGGGTTTGTCCCATTAAAGTCTCAAGCCCGAAGATATGGTTGGTCAGGTTTAGGTTTGTTCTCCGAGCCGAACTATTTCGTTGCAGGCGCTTCATCACCCATCGAGGTGACGAAGTCACCGCAACGAAATAGTTCGGCTCGGAGAACAAACCTAAACCTGAACAGATAATCCGAGATACTGGTATTCCGCTTTACTGCTAACAAGGTTGGTCGCTTGGACTCCAGACCACGAAGGCGAGACAAAACAAAACCACCCACTTTAGTCGTCAGCAACTTCATTTTCCACTACCAAGTAAACATGTTCCCACTTGTAGATTCGCTTCCTCCAGCTTCCGGAAAACAATTCAGAATCCTCCTCGATAAGGGGTTATTGGGCATACGTAGTACGTGCCCTTGCTAACGCAACTTGTTCAGTGTTATACTAAGGAACTAACCTGATTATCACCGTCTAATACTCGCCTGTGCATCTTGTGACTCCTGACCTGCTGGTGCCATCCGACGCCAACAACGCTCCACGAACAGCAGTGGCCGTAGGCTAAAGGACACACTAAATCTCCAAACCGTTGAGGCCTGGTTTCAATCATCTAGTTTAGTACTGTTCTCACTGCAGTCCTGTATACGCTGCCTTTCAGGTTGAGTGAACTCCCATTCCTGTACAGCAGATGTCGCTGTACGTTAACTAACCAACTGTTCTAGGCCTATCGCTACTAATGCGCCTTCCAGCATAGATGAATTTATCAACTGTCTCCAGTTCCTTGTCGTCAAGCGTTATGGGGTCACCCGACGATTGGTAGCCCTACAACATCACTCTGAGCTCTTCACGTGCGAAGCGCATGTCAGATGATGGAATCATTTCAGAGAATTTGCCATAGTTAACTGCGCCAACTCCTCTGTCAAAAAGCAGGCTAACATCCGCATGATCCATTGTCACAAATTTTCAATCGGGCAACCTTTCAATTCCCACGTCATGCGAATCCGACAATGACCACTCCGTGATGGGGTCCACGATAAGGTTGAGCATAATGGGAAGTGTGATAACCCTAGTCAAACCCGCTTGTTGTCGGGAAGGCATCTAACAACTCACCATAAATTCCGAAACATCTTGATACATGGGACGTACAATGTTCCCGTTTCATGGGGGCGCCTTTCTCGCCATATTTGTCGAGCACAACAGAGAGGTCGAGCGACCCGAATGCACTCTTGGGGCCGAGCTACACAGCCGCCGAGAGGAAACTGTCCCATCCCAGATGTAAACCTGTCTGCTCTTCGCTAATCCGGTGTGCTCGTTCCACCGCTAATTGACGAACAAGAATTGGGGCCAGTGCCTTCATTACTGTCGATGTCGTACTGACACTCCCATGTTTATGATAAACGCTGTGACAGACTCTCCTGTATATTGTCGTTGTGATGATTCACCCCAGCTCTGTTTGAGCAGTTGGGTCAATGTTTTTCAGGGGATCTCATTATTATCCTTTAATAGTACTGGTGCGACTGAACCCCAAGAGGCAGCATGAAAACGATTGAGCCCTGTGACCTCGGTCTTTGACGGAGCTTCTGAGCTAACTATCTTTCATTCAGCTTGCATAACCTGCGAGCAGCAGGCCGGAAGCCAATTGAACTGCTCTCGAAAGTATTTCACCTAACAAGCCAAATGACGATCCTCATTGTGAATTGGCTCTCCGGTGTTATCTCCGATCTGATCACTGATGCACAACTTGATCGGACAGATAGTGCGGATCGATTGAGATAGTTTACAGTGGCTTTCCACCACGTCTAACTTCTCCATTTCTTAAACCCTTTGTGTCCCATAGGCTTCTTTGTCAGCACGCAGGACCCGTTTTACTTGGAGCCTAATGAACCGTCTAGTTCCATTTTGTTCGTTGCTAGCGGGAATTTTCCTCTTGATTCCGCTATATTCACCGGTCTTTCTGATATTAGAAGTCTAATCGTTAACCACTATTATTGAGGCAAGCAGAATCCGTCGCATCCTGTTTGTTGACAGAAACTGTGCCACTGAGCGAAATGGTGAAATGTTTACCATTCAATTACTCAGCTCGGAGAATGAATCAAAACGTCAACCAACGTCCTTAGTTCAATTCGATGAGAGCTTGGCACACAGGGCATCCCAGTGAGCTTACCTCGTTTGGACCTGAGACGACTTAGTTATTCATCAATACAAACGTTAAACATGACTCCCGGTGCATCTCACAGGGAATCGGCAATCTAACAGGGCATGATCAGAACCGAAGCACATGTTCCAGAACGATCGTCAGTCCAGGATGGAACCGCGCCACCGATGTCATCAATTTAAATTCATCGCTGGCCAACTACCACAGAATGCCAAATACTCGATGAGCACCTACTGTATCTGAAGACTCTGATGCTAAGACGCGGCTGATGTTCAGCACATAGTTGTAATAAACGCTCGCCGATATCCCTGCTTTCAGTGTGTAGTCCCAGTTTCCTATCAACTTGAACTTCTCAAGGACTCAGACGACCTGTCTATACATTCATATCCTCTGCAATTGAAACGATATCTCAACTGGTAATACTGCAAAGTATCTTGGAAAGTTTATTGTGGATCATGTCACTGACAACATCAGGATTTTTTTAGTGGGGGGCGTAATTGGCAGCTGCAGGTGAGCATCGTCCATCGCTGCTCCGAGCGCTAACCTTACTCATCGTCCCCACGTGGGCTGCACTCAGACGGCTGTTGATGGGAATGCATTCAACTAGTGGTATCTCAGCCCTGAAGTTAAGAACGATATCCACCCCAATTTGTCCTGCACTCAGCACAGTGATCCGTTCTTGAGATAGTTCACAGCGTTACCGCTGACTGTAGCATCTGCAAGAAGACGCTCCATTTTCCGGGCAATGAACCACAACTCCGTGCGACAATCTGAGGCAGTTTTGTCCACCAATCATATGGGAAGGCTTGTCACTCGGTGCCTTACATGCCGTGCAATCAAATTACACTCACCACTCAATCACGGCGCACACAGCTGGACGAGCCACTGCGCTTCACATAGCCTCACCTAGCCACCATTGCTTCGGCGTCACCTAAGTTGTTTCAGCGTAGCCTTAGTCAACTCCGCGTAGCCTAAGTTACCTGTCGTGCCCCATGCTAGCTTATATGGGACCACCCTGGTTTAGCCTAGACTGCCTGCGCCTTAGCTAACTTGGCTTACACTTTGTCCTAGCATTGACTGCGTCAGGCTTGCCTCGGCATGGGTACCTCCACCTATGTTACCTTAAGCTAGCCTTGTCTAAACTAGGTTGTTTCGAATGTGTCTAGCTTGTCCTCTAGTAACTCCCCTTAGCACCGGCTATGCACTTCAACTATCCACCTTTCTCCCTGGTGTTCCGTTCCCGTAAACTTTGCTGCACGTAGGAGACAAGCACTCATGCTATCTGTTTGTCGTAAGACGGTTCGTCATGCTTCCAACGTAACGCTAGGGGCAACCAATGCCTTTTGTCCGCGATAACCTCACCTCGTTGCCAGAGATGATAAGTGAAATCAGTTCATGAGTTGTTAGCTTTTATCTGTATACGGTACACGTAGCACCTCAACTAAGGTCGATGATTTCCAAGAATTGATTGCCTGCAATTTCAGGTTGTTAACATGGGTAAGCAATTGTTAGATGCCTGACAGGGGTTACACCTGATTATATTCCTTATTGAAGAATGATGACACACTTTACGCGGCCGATTTTAACTAGTATTCATCACATCAGATGGACTTGAGCCAGCTGTTCCAAATCATTGCATCAGTGCTGTTTGTAGGGGACTCATTATGAAATGTAGTACTTCCTGTGCATACAGCGCTGTTCTTCGGAAGGCTACTACATTGCCAGCTTCTGCGAAGTTTATCTAAGCAGTCGCTCCCTCATGTTCCGCGTCACGTCCGTCAGAGCGGAACTGGCTGATGGATGCAATTTGATTGCGGGCTACATAAGATCACGACTGACACGACTTCAAATCTGATTGGCTAACGAAACCGTCTTCGGTTGTCTCACGACGTTGTGTTACCTTGCTCAGAAAATGGAGCAGCTATCCGAAGAAAAATCATCGCATTGCGACGATTTCGCCGCGAATCGTGACAAAAATCGTCCGGCTGTGTTGGATGGGCAGTAATGCGGGGACAAGTCGTCCGTTGTTGCTACGTTCATAGTTGTACATGGGTCGGGATACTGCTAAGACCACGAACCTTGGCCGGAACCCGATTATGGTCCTCAGCTAAGACCTTTCTCACAATACTCGAAAATTACACCCATGGAATTGATAAAATACACGGTTGCGAAGAGCACTCTTTTTTTAATAAATCTCATCAGGCGTTTACAAGTATGAAGTGGAATGTTGAAACAGCATAGGCTAGTGAAGTGCGAAAGAGATAGACGAATCAGGACGAGGCAGAAATCGATTAAGAGCTCAATTTCTGCCTCGCTCTGATTCGGCAATCTCTTTCGTGCTTCACTAGCCCATCCTGTTTCGATTTTTCCTTTTATACTTGCAAACGCCTGATGAGATTTATCGAAAAGAGTGCTCTTCGCAACCTTGTGTTTCTCACAATAGCTTGACGACAATGCTACGGTAAGATGGCAGTGGTACGGTTTTACGGAAATGGATGCCATTGCATTTCCCATCTGCAACCTGGGAGTGCAGGAGGCTGAGTTCGGCTTACTTCCAGCCATTGACCAGTTTAGTGAAGCCATATCCCGAGGGCGCGAGGACACCAATCAGTAGAGCACAATAGGTCGAAGAGGCGCACCAACCATCTCACTACGCTAAGGCTGTCTTGTTTTAACGGCAAGGACCGCCAGTTATCATTCGTGTCTTCTGCATTGATGACGATACCGTGCATTTGTGCTGGAGCCACTTAACTTTTTCCTCTCTAATTACATCCCTCTCAGTCCAGTATGCCCGCCACTGTCTCATGCGTCGGAGTTGACGAGCGTTCAAACTCTAGCACCTCCCCACTGATTACGTGGGATCTCGACCTTGATGCCTTCTCTACTTCAAAACAAAAGAAGATGCGTATACTGAAATGTGAGTTGGTTTTCCATTCCATGCAATCGGTTCCTGTTTTTCTTTGGGCAGCTGTGAACATCCAGCATGGTAGGATTAGATATCATTTTTCTCATGAGTCTTTGTGGCAATTCCTATTGGATATGTGTCAAGACTCGGTCCTGGCACTACGTATGCTGGCGCATTGCCATCAATCAAAGGAGAAGGCGTGTTTTCTGGACACGGCATACTAAACAATTAACACGACACATGACAAAGGGTGAAGTGTAGGTGTGTATGCGCACATCGTGTATAAGACCAGTCAGAGTAGAACAAGTGTTAGTCAACGATCCTGAGAAGAGCACGTGACAACCGGTCAGGCGAATTCGGCACCATTCTCATCCCTGGTATGGATGATGGAAAAGTTGTTGATCCTCTCAATCCCATACTCAGCCATCGGAGGCAACAATGCGGTGTATAAACCCAAGTAGAGGGTTTCGGTGTGGCTCTCCCATACAAGCATACAAGCATTCGTTATATCCCGTCTCAGTAGGGCACAAATCCGCCTACACTCATCTTTACTCCAGAACCGCAGACATCTCATACAGATGTGAACTGTTCGTTGATTCTCCTAGACCCATCCGTGTGTGCGTCCCCAGTGCGCTGCGCATTCGCACTCGCGAGTTGGGCCTATTCAAATCTAATGTAATCCTGCCTCTTCTCTCTACCTAGTGCTGCGTCTAACTCATTCTTGGAAACAAAAGGCCAGATTTGCTAGACTGGAGTGTGTGAAGTACGGAGCATGGTTAAATTCATAAGTCACTTGTCCTCACCTACTGTAGGTTGCTGGCCGGTTGAGGTCACTTGTCTACTCACGTCCAAACGTACTCGCGGTCTCCACTGTTTGGTTGCAGTCCCCTTCACACCTGTTCCGTATCAACCCCTGCCATGATGGTGAACTGGCTTCGTCAGCTGTCCTGGACCGCGTGGCAACTTGTGTGGAATTGGCCAGCCGCAGGCTCACTTCGTGTCTCCGAACCGTGTCCCGACGTTCATTTGTTGGGAGCGCTTAACACCATAATAGGTTATCGATCGGAATCGAAGGCACGAATGGTGCCCCACTCTGAATTGGCGGCCTGGGACTATCATTTGCCAACAACTCTGAGTCACCGGTGTTCTCTATACTCATGTTCCTCAGTTTTTTCAAGTTTATTCCTCTGACGCCAACTAGCATTAGACTACATTTCACTTAGCTGGGACCATTTAATATGTACCGAAATTTTCTCAGTTCTCGCATGTCATGTCCATTGGTTCAACTGAGAACGCTCACTTCCGCTCTGCAACTGCATAATGGCCACTGTATAGCATACATTGAAAGTGCGCACATGTCACCTTTCATAATGTGTCCTTTCTTATGTGGATTCCATGTACCGACTCGGCCATCGGATAATGACGGTTTCGATATCATCCCCAGCCGGACACAGTCCATCTACATCAGTGGTTCTCAACATTTTTGAAGTTGTTACCCACAATGCTTGTTCACAATGAACAATTACCCCATCCCCCAAAAAAGAGATATTGTAGTTCAAAAAGCTAGTGAGCTATTGCATTCTTTGCTTCAATTTACGGCAAATGAATACCACGTTTAATCACACCTCATCATTCAAATAACGAAAACACCGATTTGGTGCGCTGCGTTTCCTTAACTCAAGTGGTGATGTAAGTTAATGAGACCGTTGGTATTGCTTACTTCCTACACTTTATGGTATATTTAATGTGGTTTCGCCTAATGCACACCTACGCTGTGCTCCCATCTCATTCGTTCCCTTGCTTTGGTGTGTTATCCCTAATCAAACATAAACAAATGTCACTGGCTTCTCATTCGCTTCAGCTATCTCTGCATTAAAGCTTCCCACCGCCACTCTGTTTCGACATGCCGTGAACACGAATCGCCTGTTTTGTTCATTCTTCCTCGCTCGCTCCTTTACATGGTTGGCTAACCAATGCTCCCACTTTAGTATCCATTCAACTCTGTAACTAGACACGACGAACGACTGCCTAACTCAAAAAACCACGAGCGAGTCGATAGAGGCGTCATCTACTTGCGCTGCTTTGCAGGCTTGAATTCGTAGATTAGAAAATAAAGTTTATCATTAAACATTGTCCAAATCGCTGCACACTCACTAATGATTAGTCACTTACGCCTAATCAATAGTGCTTACGCAGTTAGTTAATTGTTTTGATACATCTCCCTTCGTTATTAATTTTATTTGGCAACAGCTTGATGATCCAATTCTTGCATTTATATTTACGATGCCATTTTACCTCCTTGGGTGTAATTACCCCCAGGTTGAGAACCACTGATCTCAATGGATCCCGATAAAAACTCTCATGTGCACCGTTCGACTTCTTTATCCCCTCCGACTTAGCAAACGTGTAAATGCTTTGCATGCTTATTATGTATGCGTCTACTTACCGCAGCTCCGAAGCCGTTGCAGGCAATTTCTCTTGACACTTCTACCATTAGTCCGAAAAAACACGTCTAGCAACACTTTCCATGCCGCACCAATACGTGCCTGAAAAAAACCGGACGCGTTCTCTCTAAACTCAAATCGTCCACTCGATACTTTGTGTTTGACGCACGCGTCTACACAACTGCATGTGTGCTCGGAAGGAAAGACCTTTTTGATTATATTCCGGTGGGCTTGTGTATATTGCACATTTTACTTGCTTCCGCAACACCATTGTTCAGTTCCTTCAAACTTCCCTCTAGCTTCACACTTCTATGACCCGTTGGACGTCATATTGGTGAAAATTATAATAGCCGTATAATTGCGCTTCATAAAATACTGGTCTACTTTGCTAGCGTTGCTTGCTTTGAAGTCCGAACTCTGTCCATTTGATCCAGCCTCCTGGTCTGTCTTCCGCCACTATTACGATGTCCACTAAGAGTCACTTACAACAAGTGTTTCCTCGAGTTCACCGCGACAAGTAGTGTGCCTCGGAGTTGCCTCATTTTCTGTTTATAGTCACCATCATCATGAACGTCTCTCTCATCTCCCTTTGCGTAACTGCCACCGAGTAACCACGGACCAACTAGCACTGCGCGCGTGGCTTATACCCCTTGCTACCTAACCTCGACACTTCTAAATCAGCTGACGCTCCGCGTTTCACAGTTCAGGCTGTTTTACGAGTTACGACCGTGTAACCAGGCTGATACACCACTACTTCCCACTATCCTTAAACAGTTAATCGAAACTTCGATGGCCCGCCACTCAACTACTTTACTTATCGTAATCAGTTTGTTAATACGGACTTATCTGCCAGCATAGAAAGCACTGTAATGTTTCAGAATTACGCTTGACTTATCGGTGTCTCTGACAGCTTGTACAGCGCTGTAACACGGTCTAAATTTCTGCGTGGATCAGTGACATGGTTTCTGTACTCTGAAGAAGTTCAGAGACCGGCAACGTCTGACCGATTGACATCTTTCCAAGCACTACTCATATGTGGTCTGAACACTGATCAACGTTGTATATAAGTTCGTCGCAGTTAGACACAGGCAGACAGCCACCACACATCCAGGAAAGCGCTAGACGGCCGTTTCGTCCTATTGGGACTCGTCAGTAGTGCGCACCCGCCGACTCCTGCCGGATTCGAACCCACGACCTTTCTCTTGCGAGTCAGCGACTTATGTCACTAAGCCATGGGCGACGGCAGCGGACCGCCATGACTGCTATCTAACTGCGATATAGCGCGGCTCATCCTCCACTGTCTTGCATGTTATGATGTGCTGAGGACCGGGCTGGCCCCCTACTACTTACAAATAATCAGTAGTTGCCTTAACAGCATACTTGCCACCTCGATTGGTGGCGGCTTGCATAGGAAGTCGTTGCTCTGGGGGCCAGTCCTGTCATTTACACATCATAACATGCAAGACAGTGGAGGATGAGCCGCGCTATATCGCAGTTAGATATCAGTCATGGCGGTCCGCTGCCGTCGCCCATGGCTCAGTGGCATAAGTCGCTGACTCGCAAGAGTAAGGTCGTGGGTTCGAATCCGTCAGGATTCGGCAGGGGCGCGCTACTGACGAGTCCCAATAGGACGAAACGGCCGTCTAGCGCTTTCCTGGATGTGTGGTGGCTGTCTGTCTGTGTCTAACTGCGACGAACTTATATAAAACCCAATAAATCCCCCTACTACTTACAAACTGATCAGCGTTTTCTGCTGCTCGTTGACAACCGTTACGACTCAGCCACACTTACCCCCTGCCCATGTTGACCGAGTCATCATTCTGTGCCTCCAGAGCGCCTGATTTTGGCGCATGTTGTTTATCGTTACTACGCAATCATGTTGGTCAGTTTTTAAAGTGGCGAAGCAGCATGTGGAGCTTTGCCACCCAACTTAGTCTGGTCAGTGGGTGCAGCCCTTGTTTTGCATACGACACGGTACATTGACTGAGCTATTCTCTCGTTAATTCTTTTCAATGCTCAATCAAGTTCTTTGTTGTATTAGCCATGGTAACTTGATCCATCACCTTTCTATATTCAGCTCACACTTGAATAACTTAGAGCGATCTAATAACCAACTAACATGCTTGTTGATCTCTGGTGTTTCTCTGCGGCCTTTGCTCTTTTTTCATGGCAAGAGTTTTGTGGAGCTTCCATAAAATAGGATTAAATTCCCGACCAAATCACGCCGGTACTGACGAACGTCGTGTATCGGTTCACATTGTCGTTAGCGAACGCTAACCATAGCTGCCCCATTGAGAGTTTACTGTCTTGGAGAAGGCTCCACCTCTTCGGTACACCAACTATTTCAGTAGGTGCAGGAATTGGACCTTTAATATCTAATGAATGCATCCCGTCGTTTTCGGGAAATTTAAGTCAATCACGCAACGCACATATCTACCTCCGCATTGGCTGATGCGGTTTCAGCCTGCCAGCATGTCACAGCTGAGGCTCGTCTAGCACTAGGTTCGAGACGATTACATTTCATTCATTTGGCTCCTTGGATTCTGTGACGGGTCGTAGTCTAGAGGTGCAGATCTTGTCTTGTAATCTGACGGCTCGGGTTCGAGCCTGCATAGGGGCAATGCGACGCTCGCAGTATCCTTAGCTCATGTGCGACCAGTGGTGGTTGTGCTTCAGCGAAGCCTCGGTACTGTGTACCGACGTACTGCCGATGCCTTTGGTTTATGTGTCATTCCGTTGTCATCCACGCTCCACGAAAGCGCAGCCGTGGCTGTGCAACAAATTGCTCCAGTTGGCACACGTGCGGCAACTTTACTGTGGTCACCTAATTGTAACTCACCGAATATAGGTCAGTTCAGTTCATTTGAACAGCTTTGATCCCGAAGCGTGGTGGATCCAGTTGTCGCGACTCATATCGCAAGAATAATAGTGAATAACAACGGCAAGAAAGTGTGCTTGAATGCAAATAGAGTGTAAAGGAAATGGAGGCAAGTAGAAAGTTGGTTAGACTAATCCGAATGGAACGAAGATTAACAGTCGCATACAAGAAACCGAATGCAGTAACGCCACTGACTGCACGGTGTGGTGTGGACCATTCCGAGGTCCCAATCCACGAAGACGGCATGCACCAGCCTGATCAAGTCTCACTCATTTTCTTCATGCCTCTATGCCAGTTCATGAGCTGGCTACCTCGCTGTTTCGCCCAACTTGATGTATCCACGGCGTATAGTGCTCATCGAAGAAGACGGTCAACGGATGTACTGTGCACATGGCCTAACCAACGTAAATGATTAAGATTCAGTAAATACTTGAGTGAGGCACCAGAAGGCTTCTTGCCAAAAACCAACTGGCAGATCTCGACATTGCTCACTCGGTGTTCCCACAAGACGTGAGCAATACTTCGCAAGCACCGGTGGTCAAACCCGGATAAGCGTTTAATGTCTTCGCCGCCAACTGGCTAGATCTCTGATCCATACAGTAAGACTGGCCATATCGCAGTGTTGTGCACCGTACCTCATGCAATTTGATACTAAATAACTCTATGTTGCTTCTGATCTGATTAGCCTTCAGTCCCTGAGTACTGCTCTTTGTGCTTGATTGTTCCAGCACTGTTACATCATAAAATAACTTCTGTTGAATTAGTTGCTTTTTGCCTTTTTATTGTCCAGTGACTGAAACCTGTTCATCATTGGACTAGTTTTGTTCAAAAGTAACCAGTTGAGAGCATCATATCCGCCCACTATCCAGAGCAATTGGTAATGGTGGTTTACATCCTGTTCATCCATCCGCGTCGTATTGTTAACCTCTGTCAAGACGTACCACCAGTTCCCTGCCTCATCTGTATTTCTTTTAGCCTCTAGTATCCATACATTCTTATCAGTCTAACTAAACGCTTAGATTTTACATTTTATGGTCCAAACTACCTACCGAGCCAAACAATGCGGTGTACCTTACTAATGGTGGCGTTATATCATACTACTCACGTTCAAGACAGTAGTAAAGAACTTAGTTATTTTGTTATATTCACTTCACTGTTCCTGCATCCGCCGTGGTTGCACCCAAATAGCAAACGGACGTTACGAAAACACTGGACGGCCATTCCGTCTTCTTCGTGATCATTTGGCGGTTCTCACCTCTTCACTTCTGAAGTCTGAATCGCATGACACGTGTGATCGCCACTGACTGAGGCTCCCGCTAACTGGCCATCCCTTACTCGTCAGCATGGACTGTTTGACTTATGCAGTTGTTTATCTGTTGTTTGTGCGATGAGTGTCTAGTGTAGGTTTAGTGCTGAAGACCGCTCGCTTATCCGTCCACGAACTGTTCATTTTCGTGAACATTCATGGAATACCATGGTCCAGTTAAACTGGAATCACCAGTAAAACTGTTGCCGAATCACCTCCCTTCAAAATTTTATTTGTACGGTCAGATCTGTCTAAGACGACTACTCAAGGAACCGACAAAAAGTGGTCTCCATTGCAGGTTGCACTGTAGCTGCAAACCTAGATGGCATAAACCTCTTGGTTTTCTCGTTCCAGACCGTGTGGAACAAGATTCGACAAATATTGAAACTTTGGCAATCGTCCGTGATTTGAAGAGACGCCGACAGAGCTATCGTGGCATTCACACTGCTCGCCGCTCTTACACAGAAGTAAGTTCCCTTTGTATCTTCGTCCTCCAGCAGTGCTCTTTTACCACTGTTCAATAAAGTGCTCAGTACGCTTAGGCTATTCAGCTTTCCTTTGGCGCTCACGGTAGAAGTCCTGTCATTAGTCTGAAATCCTGATGTCGTATTGATTGCTCTCAACCAAATACCTCCTTCTATTTGTGCCATTTATACTGGTATCTGGAGGAATACACGGTCCCTGTAACATTCGTTTCCATCCACACCCAACCTCTCCTTGATAGTTTTACATTGCAACCGGAATGAGAGGACTTGTAGGTCTTCTTGCAGTTTATCCGTGGTCATCGATAATTGTTGCACCTTGACACTTAATCTGCTCATCAACGTTTACAAAGCTTGCGCGGCAAAACTAATTATAGGGGACAGAAGGACAGATTTAGGAAAATGAGTGAATCTACGGTTTAAAACTTATAGTTTTCTCGGGTGTAGATGTGCTGGTAGCTGAGGATTCATAAACATCGCACAATTCGTAGCGGTTTGTGAGAACATCACCAATCTCATATCACCCATTGTGTCTGTAATTGTCACAAGCAGGCAGCCGAGATCGGGTGGATTGCGTCACCGGCATATATTTTGCCCATAGTGATATTAACGATAATCTACCACCGGATCATATGTGAATTCGGTTGGCCTGTAAAACCACAGAAGCTGAACAGCACCCGATTAGTCAGAATAGGTTTGTGTAGCAGTGACGAACGAAAGAGCAGCCGATTGTCCACCATCACCGCAGGTCTTGCTTGCAGAGCTGTCGATTTTGATTGACTTTCCACTCTTGTTCTGTCTTTGGGGTGCTCGTTCAACAAGGAGAACCAACAGTTGTGTTTAAAAATATGATCGGAGTTGTGTGATTTGTTGTTTACCCCTGTCTTGTGATGGGCCTGTCTGTTGCAATGTACGATCAGTTAGGTCTCATCCAGGAGATTTACAGGGTTCTTGCTTCTCAACCTGTTGGTCCTGGCTGTCAGTCGTTTCGAGTTTTGCTTTGCACTGTCGAAATGCAAAGTCCTTCTCCAAGGTTGGTAGAGACCCATCCCTGCGCTGACCCTTAGTGGTGATCAGCTAGAAGTCGTTCAGAAATCCAAGTATCTCAACAGTCATATTAGCGTCCGTGGGATCAAAGATGAGATCACCAGTCGTATAGAAAAGCTCGATGAGCTTTTGCTACTCTCCGCCACTTGTGACGCCGGCACGACATCACTTACCCTGAAGGTCAAACTTTTCAATTCAGCCGTCCGTTAAACCCTCCTGTACGGTTGCGAAATCTGGCTCATCACGCACCTGACTCCGATGGCTGGATCACTTGTTGCCCATGCCAGCACAGCGACTCTTGTGTCATACGTTGTTGACACGTTCGAGATCTGGATGGAAAAGGAGGAGGAGCGATGACGTGACCGAGAGAAATGAAGGTCTTCACTTCGAAGTTGGTCTGGGCTAGTGTAATCGACTTCCAGGCTGGGGTCTGTAGGACCGTGAAGGTGTTTGCTTGGATACATTAGCTGAAATGGCGAAGATTCGACCTTAATGGTGTACGTGTTGTGATACCCGTTTGACCCTACCCTCTCCTTTAGCTGCCCACTCCAGCAACGATCTCATACCCCATGCGTAATATCATATTTCACATTATATTACTTTTTAGTTTTTCTTGGTCTGTAATCTCTACTATCTTGTATTACGGCACAGTGACTGTGGTGTGTTTCTTACCCTCAGTTGACATGTATTGCTGCTGATGATGTTCCCTTTCTACATAACTCCACACTATCTATTCGGCCACTCGTACGGTCTATTCCGACGTGTGACCAAGTCTGTAGGTCAATTTCTTCGTATTCCCGTAATCGGTTTGCCACTTCGCGGTTTCACCCACCGAGACGTAACGGTGGCACACTGGTACAGATGGTCGAATAGCATATGGGGCACATGAGTTAACCAACTTATGCGGTTCTAGTTTGTGTGGACGCCTGTAGCCAGACACAAGTATTATTCTACGCTCATCAATGCATGATGATTGTGCCTCTACTTCTCTCTGCTACTTTCCTTTGTTGTATCTCTTGTATTTATATTAGTTGGTTTTCGTCGTCACCATGTGGTTTTATAAGACTACAGTAACTCGTGAACTGCACACAGGACTCTTGTACTGTAACTGGAAATAATGCATCTGTCCGCCGATTGCGTGTGGACCGAGTGCGGATGTTAACGAGTTGTTCGCTGATCATGCGTATGTCAGTGACATATGGACCAGGCAAATGAGCATTGGGACAGTGGCCGGATGGCCAATCAAACATCATCGACACGTTCTTCAATAGGTCAACCTGCTGACCAACATGCATTGGAGGGGCAGTTGGTTCGGCTTAACGCAGCGTTGTGGTAAAGAACCACGGGAAACGCCAATGCAGAAACGATCCAGCTCACAGCAACAGTTCTTTGAACAGTACTCTGCATTTTGATGATTTTCAATTAACTGCGAGCGAAGAAAGCTGATGGCTATTCTTGTTTCTCGAAGGTGCAATTCGTGACACATCACTCGATTCAGAGTACTGGACATCGGCTATCGATAAAAAAACGATATGTCTTCGAGGTAATTTCTGATTCCTCATTTTCATCATCCTACGTTAGTTAACGGTGAGAAATATCTTAGGTATTAGGTTGCAATGCAAAAGCTAAATAAATAAAATAAATAAAATAAAAAATATTACGTAACACACCATAACATGGTTGGCGGCATCCGGTTTCGGATTTGCCTGTCACTGTGGCCAGCCACAGGACGCCTGCGCCTACAGAGGGACCATGGATGGCTTGCGCTGCACCACACACAGCTCCATCCACACACCCCATATCCCGTGTAAACCCGAAGGAATAATACCGGGAGGCATGCGGATGGGAGCCACGTTTCATCAACGGAGCCGGCCCATAATCCTTCACAGACAAACACAAGCACGTTGTATTTGGGGAATCAAGCGCACACAAGGTGGTGGCTGGACCGTAGTCCGCTCCACACTGAGTGTATGGAACCACTCTTCGAGCCTAGCACGACCACAAGGACCGTGCACCCTGTCCCCTCCAGCAACGACCAACTGTCTCCTGGAGCCAGTATGGACGAGGTAGTGGGTACTAGACAGGTAGACACCTTGTCAACATGCACATCAAGCGCAGCCAGACCGGGGATATCAAACAACAGCCAATCACTCAAAATGCCGATATCGAATAAAGTAAACGCATATGACGACATAAATACTCGCCAAATGAGCATAGAAGGAATTGGTTATAAGTGAATCCGTGATAAGTACAAAATGTCCGAGTTATTTAAAATATACCACGCGATACAATTACGCAAGTTTACCACAATTTGCATGAGCGACGTGTGCAAGTTGGGAGAAGATTATTCCGGTAGGCAGAACAAACCAAATGAAGTGGAATGGAATTTATGCAGCTTAAAAAGACCTAGTTTAAGTGTAAGTTGGTTTAGCCCAACTGCGGCGAAGAAGCGTCATGAATGCAACAACATGGGGCACACCCCATAACATACAGAAATAAAAATCAACAACAAGCAATGTAATGCTAGGTATCATAATGTGCTTCATATGTGGGATCTTCGTTGTGGTGGTGGAAGTTAGGCGTGAAGCAGAGGGGCAAAGAGAGTCAACCCAAACCCTATTGATATCGGCTTGTCAACATTTCAAGAAGTGTATCCAAACAGACCTGTTCATCGTCTCTGAACCCCAGCGCGGCAGTCCGGTGGCATCAACAGACGCCAGGTTCGAAGTGAGGGCCATTGTTTCTTTTGACCAAGTCGTTGCTTAACCTTCTTTCTTATTCCATCCACACCCTGATCGCGCAAACAATGCACTTCACTGTAGTTGGTGTGTTAGCACGCGCAACACGTGTCCCAGTCATAGGAACTGGTGCGGTTGACTCGCTCATCCTGCACCAAATACGAAACATCGAACGCGCACATTGCTCACGCAGTGTTACCACCCGATGTGAGGTAAACTGTGAAATCAGCGCTGATCGAACGTAACTAGCCTATTTTGATCTGTCGACTTGATGGGCCAGGTTTCGCAACCGTACACGAGGGTTTGAACGCACAGCTGCGTTTAATGGAGAGGTAAGCGGAGCCAATGTCCAGCTACGAGGTTGCGCGCGGGCTTACCGCGGAGCACGGGAGTTGTCTGCTATATGTGAAGGTCATCAGCGCGGGTGTGAAGCGATCTTCGATGGTTCCGCGAAATATGGGAATCTGATGCGAATTGATTGGCCAGCAAATACAAGCCCGCGTCAAAGGAGGCGAACCATGCTACCAAATATGGTAAACCCGTAGGACGGAATTCATTCACATTGGCTGAGAATCAGACGCAGAAGAGTGGATGGCCTGGGCTTCCAGAATTAGTATGTTTCCTTCACCAATAAATATAGTTGACCTATCTCGTAGCATGCACACTGTCTACCGGGCCTTGGTCTATAATATTCCTACGGGCGGCTGGGCGCGCGACTATGCAGACAGACGGTCACAAGCGAAGCAGCTCAGCAGTACGACAGCGTTGTTTCCAGTTGGTCGTTTAATATGTATTCGGTTACCCTTCTTTAGCCAATCTTTTATCGTTTCCGAGGCATGCGCTTCCCTGAATCACACCAACCACCTTATCGCAGTTGTGTGCCAAACCTCTATCCCTTTCGGTCTACGATTCAACAGCCTCCGTTTGATCCCTCATAACTTCTTTTTATTTTCAATTTTGCTAAGAACTTTTCGTGTACCTCTTCTCGTGCGGTTTCTTCACTTCTCCGGATGCATCACACTGAATGATCCTGTATCTGCCACAGTGTTACCGGTGTTAACCTCTGGCCCATCACTTCAACTTCCAAAGCATCTGAAGGTCACAAATTCTAGCAGCGTGGATGTGTTCGAACGCTAAGCAACTGTTTGGTGCCGCATGACGTTCGTTGCGTGCAGCTGTCCCAATCCCTAGTATTTGCTTTGCACATTTGGCTTCATTACTCTTCTTGTTTCGCATCCTAACAAGGTTGCGCGGTACCGAACCATTAGTATCAGGTTGTTAATAAAGTTATTGTGGTTTTTAATATTTTTATTTTAACATCTTTGTTTTTGAAATAACTTTCAATAAGTTATATATCATTTTAAAACGTATTTTTCGCTCCGTCTATCATTAATGATAGTTTAGCTCAGCAACACGTTTTTTTACTTCTACGGAACATTACTTGCAGCATGAACAGAAGGCAAATTGGCACAAATCTCATGTTCCAGTCTAAACTTGGTCGAACTTCAGCGGGAACGCTTCAGAACCTCAACAGTACATTTAGTCCTGGAGCCACTAATGACCGTACTGCACACTGGCGGTTTCAAGGTTTTCGAAAAGGCTACGGGAACTCTGAAATTGAAGAGCGTTTTGGGTGCCCATCGGAAGTGAGCCACGACCAGCTAAGGGCCTTACTTGAAGCGGATCCGCGTAAAACTGTTCTACCTCTTGCTTCTGATTTAGCAGTATCGCATGTGAGAGTTTTCAAAAATTTATGGGATATTGTGATGTCGAAAAAGCTGGTCAATAAGTGGGAGCCACTCGAATTGAATGAAAATCAAATAGATCATCGTTTTGAAGTATCGTCTGTGCTCGTTTTGCGCAATTAAAACGACCCGCTTCTCGTCCGCATTATGACCTGCTGGGAAAATTGGATCATCTAAGATAATCGACGATGTTCTACTCGATGACTGGACGACGATCATGCTCCTTAGCACTTCTCGATGCCGAAAAGCTTTTCTTGGCTGTTTGGGTCTCTGTTGATAGTCTCATCCATCACGCTTCCTGAATTCAAGCGAAACCTTACAGCAGAGAAGTCTTGTCAACAAATTACCGAGATGTACCGAAAACGTCGACACAGGCGCCCGGCATTGATAGACAGAAAGAGGTCAATTGTTCTGCACGATAACGCGTCACACAACCAACTCTGCAAAACTTGAATGGGCTGTGGGCTGCGAAACTTTACACCATTCATAACTCCCTTGATCTCTCGCTTACTGATTACAACATATTCAAGCACTTGGATAACTTCCGAGTGAAATATCTTAAAGCCCAACCAAAAACCGGAAACTACATTCAACGAGTTCATCGGTACCGGCGTTTTTCTTCATCCTAGTTAAATGAACTTGTTTCCCTTTGGCAAAAGTGTGCCAGCTCGATTGGGTTTTATCTCCATTAAAGGTGTTACGTTTGTGCCAAGAAATGTGTGTTCACATTTTAAGCTTGAAACCGCATTAACTTTACTTACCCCTCCGTACACTAGCAACAATTTTGATCCAAAAAATGTTGTTTCTGTTGATAGTGGGGCACTGGATTTCTTAACATTGGGAACAAAAGATGTTGCTGCACAGGCCTTATACAAATGGGAGTGTGTGGATCTGTACACAAAATTTGCAAATAAACTATGCGTGTGTACACATTGTGTACGAAGGGGTTAACAACCTAATACAAAGTCCTGATGTGCAATTGATGCTTCTGCTAGTGCCACTTGCTGTAGTTGATGTTGTCCAAGTACCCAAGGCACCAACGGAGGTATTTGTTGTGACAAATCTCTTCACCCGTATGCGTCAACTCTTAGTTCAACCGTTCCACTCATCCTTGATCTCTCTTTCCTGGAGACAGTGTGACATGCGCTGCTTCCGTACCTCTTCTTAGCACACATATATCAGCAGCTCCCAAGCGTTAGTAATCTAGCGAGGCGTTGGCTTGGCCGGCTATTGGCCCGTTACCGTTTGGCTTTCCTGCTACTACTATACTACTGTCACTTGACCCAGTAGTACCCGCTTTTGACCCATTGCGGTCATTGTTGCTGCTGCTGATGAGGATGGGGATGATGATAATTACTGCTTATTGATTACTGAATACTGGTTGGAAGCAGCAAGAGGTATCTCTGTGTCGCTGCATCTAATGTCACTTAGGGTCAAAGACCCGTTATGTTGGGGTGCGCTCATTATATTTTATTTCAACAAAGTGTTTGTCCTGAGATTTCCTACATTCCGACGCCGACTTTGCCTCAACTACTTGCTGCGGCAGGCCGTTCCATACATTCACCACTCTGCGTTCAAAACAGTTGGTGAGCGACCCGTTTCAAATCCGGTACAACAGGCTTATACCGGTGTCGTCGTCTGCTGCTTGTGTGCACAGAGGAAGCAGCGGCCTTACCATGGGGTAATCTCCCAGATGTAATATCCGGTGCGTCATGATGATGTCAACTCGCAGTCGTCAGTAAGCGAAGGGGTAAAGCCCTAGTTTCTTGCCCCAATCTTCCTATGGCACACCTCGTAAATTGGGAATCAGCCTGGTGGCTACATGCTGCACTCGCTCAATCTTTCCTACCTCTTCCCGGGTGCTAGAACAATACGCGGGGGATTCATACTGTAGTGTTAGTCGTATTATTGAGACGAAAAGGCGAGTAGCAATTCCCGGATCAAATGTTGAAGCTGCGCCTGAGCGCCCAAAACATACGAAGGCTGTTTGGTAAAGCCTATTCGTGTTGTCCATGGACTTTAGGTCGGAGCGCACACCGAAGTCTCACACGGAAAGCCCGGGATGCAACGGTTGAACCGCCACTATGTAGCTTCGACTGTGCTCACACTTACCCAGCCTCATGAATTGCGACCTGACCGGGTTGATCAAAAGGTTTACTTCTGCAGACCATGTGGAGAGGCGGTCGAGGTCCTGTTGTTGTTGATGTTGATGATGGTGCTGAATTCTTTTTCGCGTGCATCCTGCTTTACTACGACCAAGTCATCATAACATCTAACCCGACACATGTTGCTCGGGTCATTCGTCGTGCACACGTGAGTGATGGAGAATGGCACCTTCATGCAGTCAATCGGGATCCCAGTGATTGTGTTCTATGAATCACTATTTGGCCACTACGCGTAAAACGCGCTCGCATGTCCTCTCTCCATTATTGACACTTTGTTCTTTGAACGTGGGTTATATTTACGCCGTCACAGGGTGCACTCGAGAGGTCACAGCACAGACAAATTTCTAATGAGTGGGAGGCTTTTGTAATTGAAATGTTTTCGTCCCAGCTGCTCACAAGCTACATAGCACAGCCTAGTCCGGAAAAGCACCAGACGCGTTGCGCCCTATTGGGGCTCGTCAGTGGTGCGCATTCCCTCGGTCTCCTACTGGGGATCGAACCCAGGCAGATGCCAACTAGCCAGCAGCTTAATTCACTGACCCATGGGAGACGTCGGCTGGGATACACAATTTCCAAGCTAACTGAAATATAACACGACCTATCTTCCACTGCCGCGCAGGTTAGTATCTTAGCAGGTGACAGTGGCTGGCCCTATGACTCAATGGCTTAAGCTGCTGACTAGTTGGCATCTGCCTCTAGCGATCATTGGTTCGATCCCCAGTAGGGGACCGAGGGAATGCGCACCACTGACGAGCGCCAGTAGGGCGAAACGCGTCTGGTGCTATGTAGCTTGTGAGCAGCCAGGAAGAAAACATTAGACCGATTTCACCGTTTTTCACGAGTCGCCACCTGGATAAATTCGTATATGTATCACTCACATACTTTTGCACCTCGTTTTCTCTACTCTCTTACTGCGTTGCTGCTTGCACGAAGTCGCATCTTCCGTTCGTCCCGCCTTGCTCAGTCCGCTCTACACTTTCTCTTGTCATAGATTCTGCGTGAGATTATTAAGCAACAGACGGAACTCCTTCAAGCAGCCCACGAAAAACAACGTGAGGAGCGGCTTGCCACCGAAAAGTAAGGTTTGGCTTATGGCTATCTTTGTAGACTTTTTTCCCACTACCCTGCTTCCCTGACCGATTGTTTTGCTGAAACTAATCGGAAACCATAACTTTGTATTTCTATTCTTTCAGCAATGGTCGCTTTAGTTGTATACTGCCGCTGTGATAACTTGGTGTAGCTGGCGAATTTCTGCCAACAGCGTTACATGTTTCACTCTTGTCGTTTTTAGTAGATCCCTTTTTTACTGTTTATTTACCGTTCTGAACTACATTTTTGAAGGGGCATTGTTTCCGACTAACTGTGGTCCAATACCACTTGCTTACATTGTCACTTTACTGCGGCGTCGATGTGTTCCACTCCGCGACGCATCGGTCCTCATTCGTATCCTTTTGGATCCTTTGCCATTTTTCATCTGTTATCGCTTGACTTGTTCAGTTTTGCTAAGTAATTTATGTGGTTGGCACTATATAATTAGTATTTTGATAATTATTCAACTTTACCCACACACACAACACCGCACTTCGCGACCGCTTTCGTCTCCGTGGCCACCCATCAGACAGTAATTGCAAGACTGTGACCCCAATCCGGCGGGACGTTTTGAGTGTCAGCTGAAATATCTACTCTTAAGCCACGTCATCGCGGTGGGAAGCGCTTGTCATAATGATTTATCTGCTTTAGACGCGGACCCACTGACCGAAGGGAACGGCCTTCACTTCAAAGTGCATTGCTTTTCTGATTGAGATTGCAGGCAAAAACTACTCCCAAGATGTTGCTCACTTGGTGGCAGGCAGTCCTCTCGTGCGTTCAAATCTCCGGCAAGAATGACAATACATCACTTTTTGGCGGAATGCTGTAGACTATGTAGTTGTTGGTTAAAGCAATCCTTCACTGTATCCGCGCTGCACTCTGTAGAGGCGTAAGCACGCCTAATAAGGCACGCTTAACATGTAAGCACTTGCTTACCTTAGATGAACCTCGTATTTGAGATTAGTCGCAGCTAGACTCAGTCACACAGCCACTGTATATCCAGGAAAGCGCTAGAGGACCGGTTCGTTCTACTCTGACTTTTCAGCTGCGTGCACCCGCAGGATCCTGCCAGACTCAAATCCACGACCCTACTCTGCGACTTGAACCATGGGTAAAGGCGAGGGGCCGCCATGACTGAATCTAACTGCCATATAGCGCGGTTCATCTTCCACCGTCATACGTCTTATAGACGTGCAGAGGGCAGGGCAACGACTTTTTTTGCGAACCGCCACCAATCGAAGTGGCATGCAAACTGTTAAAGCGATTTCTGATCATTATTGCGTAGTAGAGATATTTATTCGGACTTAAGTAGATTCGTCCCCCTACTACTCACTACTGAATCTCATAGTCTGATTACAAATAGCCGACCATTGACTGGGATTCCTTCAAACAGAGCGGTCTCAGCCCTGTCACCCAATGCAACCCCAACACCGGCCTGACCAGAAGCAGCAGTCTCTGGGTTCCCGGAAAGGTGCAAATGGTATTCGACGTCAGAGTTTGCCAAAGAGGTCATTCTGATAACGGTACTATAGTCTTGCGATCTAGTTTTCGAAAGGTAACTGATATATAACGAGAGAGTCTGAACTGTGCGGGCCAGACATGCTTGCTGTCCGATCGGCATCAGAGTGCGAACATTAAGTGCTGCAAGGCCGAATAGAGAATCAAGTCGAAGAAAAGCTTGGGCTTCGTCTAAGCGTAAGACGTCTGTGCTCGCCGGACATCGAACACCAAGAGTTTGACTCTGACTTCCGTCAGGTGCGACCAGTAAACTGCTGTTGGCGGTGACCGGGGAGGATATAAGTGCAGTTGAAGAACAAAACGTAGAGCGATCTGCGAATGGAGGTTGATCAATGGGGTTAGCTGAGGCAAGTGGCAGCAGGAGCGAAAACAGTGGTATAATCCATCCACGATTCGTCAGTGGGCCAAAGCCGAAGATGAGGGCTGTCTCAGTGGCCCCTGTTTTAAGTCTTTGATTAAAGATCCAACCTGCAAGGCAGTAGGGCGAAATGACGGCGTCGCAACCCGTTGGGAGCCGGTGACCAAACAAGAAGTGTATACGTCTTTAAATCTGTAAAGGATCCGACGCTTAGCGCACCATTGAATTTCAATCCCACTCAGGGAGAGGCAAGGGGCAATGACTTTATTTAATGGCGAGTCATGTCCTTCTCGTCACAGTGTTGTTAGACGAACGTACATGTTTTTATCAGGAGAACGCTTACCATGCGAAAATTCACTACGTCCTAGAACACTGTTGCCGAATTATTCTCTGGAACGGGATAATTCCGAGTCGCCTAGCTCGTACCATGAGGAGATTGTTCGGCAAGTCAGCTATCATGTTGGATAACATTACTGATTGGCTAGTCTGTTGAGGTTTGTTTTGCTCCACATAAGGAACGTTCTTTATGATGCCGCATTACAATGGCTGACATGGCACCATAGCTTATGTACATGACAACTATATCTATTAAAATTAGTGGCGTACCATCACCTCATTAAGTGATGGCGGATAGTATGTCGTCTGCATCGGCAAACTTCTATATACCGCGGAGTTCAAGCCGGACTACTCTGAGCTGATTGCTCGTGAAATTCAACAGTTCCTTATGAATTACTGTGGTGTGTGTTAGGCTCTCCTTCGTTTCATACCTGTGTGCCGCTTGTTTCAGCTTGCACCTTAACTCTGAATTCACCTACTGGGTCACTTACCGTCATTTAGTAGCTCGCTGCCGTTCGTAGCTAATGCATTCATTATTGAGCTAAAATTGTGCTCTCTTCATAGTGATAGCACGTGCGTCCTTTGTCCCATCGCGCTGACATTCCAATCTGGCCACTGCTTTTCACCTCCCACTCTCTCTCTCTCTGTGCATTTACGGGACCAGCGCTTGTTTTGGCAACGAACCTCATCACATGCCTACTTATCTCTACTTTCGTTGGTTTGCAAACCACGTGTCTCTGTTGCTGGAATGTCGTATCACCGGTACTTGGCACGCTAGCAACCGCAGTTGGCTTATTTTATCTCCGCGTAAATCGATTTTCGTATCACTGAAGGTTTTCTTTTGTCTCACTTTACCCAGGTCCAATCGGGGACCCTGTGTCGATCGAGCGAATATGGATTCCGCTTCATGTGAATGGCGGCCATCGGCGAGCCACCAGCACCACCATCGTTCCAACCGTAATCATTTGTCTTCCTCGCAATCGCCATCTTCTAGAAGCCATCCACACGACTCATTTCACCACCGCACCCTCGACCACCGGGATCGAGACCGCTCCCATGATGCGCGAAAATCGAACGATTCCAAGAAGCACCATAAGCATCACAAGTTGGAGCGCAAACGACGCAGTCGGTCTTGATTTCACGGGAAACGTACGCTTTAGAACTCTGCATCTACCCGATCGCGCACCTAACCACAGTGGTGCCTTTCTTTTTCATCTTCGATGGCTCTCTCCATAGATGGAACAGTGCTTGCCGCAGGAAACTCTTTGTGACACTTGCTTCTTTGCTCCATATTATACACATGTTTGAGCCATTTTGCTTCTTTAGGGTGGGTAGAAACGGACTAAGCATGCTTTGGGCGCCTAAACGCAGCTTCTGAACTGTATCTGGAGAGATTACCACTCGCCTCTTCACTTATAGGATCACTGCTAGGGCACTGACCACCCGTCTATTGTCCGTTTACTCGTGGCGAGGTGTTGATACTGTAACATGTTCAACACGTGCCTACCAAACTCATCCTCAAGTTAATGTGTCATACGAAGACCGACGCAGGAGACGGCTTGTAAGCTCTGTCAGATCGTCGGTTTCAAGTGGACTTAATAATGACTCACCGGATTGTGGCTGACAAGTCCACAAACTTGCCTTGCACTCCGGAGATCGCAGGTTCGTGCCTGTATAGGGTACCGGATGACCCTCGCAGTACCCGTGGCTTACGCGTAACCGGTGATGGTTGCGTGGCAGTGAGGCATCAGTACTGCGTACCACTATGCTACTGATGCTCCATCAACATCTGGGTGAGTTCTCTATGCACGTGCGCGCATCAAACACTCGCGGGCACCGGTACAAGCTTGTAGTATCGGACTTGAACTGGATAGCTCATCTTCTATACTTCGAGCGTCGAGTGGTGAACTAGTGGTGCAGTTTGCCCGAGACATTAGTCGAAGCGCAATCGGTGTCCGAATTCAAGCGACTTCCAAACGTCCACTTTGCGGATTGCATATTTCCCAAATGCATCCCATCTGTATGACAGAATTTCGTGCTACCCAACTACGTTGACATTGTGCGGTAATAAGTAACGTTATTCTGTGCCCGTGTTCGGTGTTCCATTGATTTAGCAACACAAACGTATATGTCTTCTAGCTCCCCATCATTGATGTACACTTTGGTGGTTCTCACTGCATTTTGACTGAACATTGTTGCGCTTCGTCTGGCGATTTTCACTTGTTTCCCCATTTTAAATTCTTCTTAGCTGGCGATTTCCCTTCTGGGTACCAATTCTCATCTCACCTATTCGAAACGAAACCTCAAACAGGGGGATGAGAACACTTATTGTCGAATAATTGGCATGTGTGGCTGGTGCGCGCACGCTACAGTTTCATTAACTTTATTGTGTCGGATGAGGCGGAAACTGAATGAGCAGAATACGAAGAAGTGGAAGGAATTCCACTGACGCCTGAGTTCCGGGACGCAGTTTTTACGACCATCACCTGTCACACACATGTAGTGAGTTGTGCGAAGCCACATGCTTATGATCAGGCATGCACCCCCCTTATCACAACACCCGAACCTTGTCCCAGGAGCCACAATAGCATCTATACTAATGAGACATGTGTTGTTTCGGTCATGTCCTGAAGACGATTGTGCGACATTTGAGCCTTTGTTCTACTCGCACGTGTCAGAGCCAGGGGGTTCTTCAGTTCCAAAAAAGAGATCACAGCGTATCATTACCCAACGCGCGATATCTGTAGTTGGATACTGTATTTAAATGTTGGATCAGCCTAACTAGCGCGACCGGTCGCTTGATGCTAGCTGAGATCAGCTGTCTCAATAACCGGTTGACCGTGAGCCCCTTGTCTTAGCATCGAAATTTGCGCTCAACTAAAAACCAACGTACGTGGTACCTACACTTCACTGCCACTTAACCACCAACAGTCGCGCGCGAGCTAAGGATATCGCGACGGTCACCCGCAACCTCCGGATTCCAGCGCAGACGTGTGGTCCTTTCGGCCCCTGGCCGTGAGAAACCGTCATATCTCACTATTCATGATGTCGTTATTACTGCAAACAGCTACCTGGCACACGTAATGATAGCTTGGTTACGAGTAGCTTTCTCTACGCATCTCATACCCGGGATAATTCTTGGGAGCATCTCGATGGAAGCCGTGCTCGGTTTGGAGCAAGGTTGTCCATCCATGACGCACACAATGCGACACCTGAGCAGTCGCTCTTCGATATCATCGATGTCACAAAGACTGTGCACTCACCCCTCCCTTCCAGTAAAAATTGTCGGGGACTCACAACTCATGTGATGTAATTGACTGATTGTTTATTACGGTAAAATAGTGTTTGGCCAACATTCCCTGTGGAATGACCGTAAAGAGAATTGCAAGAACCAACATGTTAAAAGAAAGAAGATGCGCACCAGTGCAGACACTGGGCCACGACATACTTGACTCATGGTTGCAGAGTGGGATTGTAATATGCAAAACAGCATAACGGATCATTCATAACTAATGCTTCTTGTTAAAGTATTCGGCCTACTCACTGTGTTGATGTGGACCATAGTTCCGAGTATGTTAAATCACCGAAATACACTCCAGAGTGTCGCGTTCATGCACCAAAATTGCATGAAGCTGAGTGTGATGTCCCGAACGCCTTCTGCCTATGACGCGAACAACGGCTTGGTGACATAAGCTAATGGCTAGTTTGCACAAGCTGCTAGCAGTCATGGCTTCGGTTCCTAATGGAGCCCGGAGGATGCGCATCACTGGTAAGTGTTAATAGAGTGAAACGCTTGCTGCATGTTTTTCCGGATTGGTAGTTGTGCTGTCTCACTTGTGAGCTGCTCGGAGGATTCAGTAAATTTCCCCCAGAAATTCTCCTACTCAAAGTATTCAAACAACTGAGTTTGCAAGTACATCCCACGATTAGCAGGCTCGAAAGGAATAGTAACCTGAGGAAGCTTTTGCGTCAAGACGTTGCCCACAAACTATACCAACCGGTTGTTTTCAAACCTTTCTGAAATCATGAGTTCTCGATCGGTTCCAAGTATTTTCCATGATGTTTAACCTGATCCACTGTTTTGCTTGCTTACATTTTAAGTTTTTGAATCTGACATTCGTGTTTTAGTAAAATTTCAAAAGTAATTCGGATCGCTCAGTATTTATGTGCCATTATGAGGTCACATGGGCGCCGCTAGCGTCCAGTAAACGACTCCAGATTGTTCCGCTGCTGCTAGCACGGAAAGTGGTGCAGACCCTTGGCATTTTTGGTTACGTGACCTTATGGGGTCTCAAGTGTTGCGAGGTCACTGTTTAGCCAAAGTTGACAAGCCTGAATAGCGCATTCGATTAGAATGCACTTTGGCATTTATGGTCAGGGAGAGAGTAGCCCGAGTGCCCTCTACGAGATACCAGTCTTGTGATCACTCCTTTTTGAAACGCACTGAGTCTGACTGGAACGGCCGATATCACCCTATACGAGCACAACAAGGTCACGTTCCTGAGAGGTGGTCGGCAGGCTGTGCGCCCCTTACGTTTTTAGAGGTAGGTATGAACAACTTTTCCACCTTTAGTGGTAGCGGGTTCCAAACCGACTACATCGAGGTATGGTCGATATCAGTTTGGAGGAATTCGTGGTCGTCTTGTCCCCTGATCATCCGCTAACTCTCCACCTCGTCGTTGGCCACGGCATCGAGTGCGTACGCGCCATGTCAACACTGAAATCGAACGCAGGCAGGCTTCATGGACCATATATATATATATATATATATATATATATATATATATATATATATATATATAGTGCGCATTTGCCAAGCATAGCCCGACGGCTCTCGCAAGGCACAATATGGATACCCTGTCAATCTAGGTTCTGGCATCATCATGACGATTGGATGAGACTTTCATAGGCAACCAGATTCATATGAGTTATGTCACTTATGCTGGTGTCTGCAGTATCTAACAGAAACACAATTGGAACGTACGGGTTAGGTCGACGTTCCTGTTGCCGACACGTGTAACGTGAGACTAAAGTCGCAGGTCAGTTTTGCAAAGGTCTACTCGAAAAAGCGCGTACAAATCTCACATCAACGAGTCACCCAGTTTCTGACCAGTAAGCAGCACCTGGGTTATAGTTCCGTCTAGATTGCTAACCGCGATCTGTGCTGGGAAATCCAGTTGTCCACATCACTGAAATGATAATGGTATGAGTAACACTGGTCCGCAAACTTTTGCTTTTACAACGAAAACAAGACTTATTTTGCGCTATATTTTATGGGCTTATTCCCAATATCACGTTAGTTTGTATCACTCAAATTCTTCATCTCACAAATTTTGCTATATAGCGCTTCGATATTGACACTGCAAGTCACTGTAACAAATCTGTAATATATATAGAGAGAATGTTCGTGTTGTGCATGTTGAAATAGTGTGAGTTGGTTCCGTTGATGAAACGTGCCTCCCATCCACATGCCTCCTGGTCTTATTCCATCGGGTTTACACTGGATATGGGGTGTGTGTGTTGGAGCTGTGGGTAGTGCAGCGCAAGCCACCCATGGTTCCTTTTGTAATCGCACGCGTCTTGTGGTTGCATTATTTAGTCCTTAGTAACAGACAAATCCGGAGCCATCAATCATACATATACTACAAATGCTGCTGATGTTACAAACATTATTTTGCATGCTGGCTCTTTAGTTAGTTGCATTAATGTTCTCGATATGCCCACAATTCGTAGATAGGATGTTTAGCCTATATCTTAAAAACGAGAGCTGAGAGCAAAATGTAGTTCCGTTTTGAACCACCGTCAAGAATGCACTGTAGTGAGTGACTCAGTTCCTGTGTATAACAATGTGTGCTCACTAGTGTAATTCGATGGAAAAGTTTTCATCGAAACCGTCAGATAAACTGAGTGTGAGCCAGAAGCAAGAACTGACGCATGAGTGCCGCGGGCTTCGTGTTGCCACCGTATCCGATGGTGTGTCTACTCCTGGAGTGCAAGAACCAATTCGGTTCCATCTTTCATTAGATTTCCATAGCCCGTGGCGGAGCTGTACGCTATCTGGCGCGTCCCCAAGGGAATGCCTTCCTTGTGGAGATAACTGCAAATAAGTCTCGTTTGTCTTGCAGGCGAAGTGAATAGGCAGTCACGGACAATCAACGGCAGCGTCTCAGAGCGTGGGAAGTTCTGGGCTGGTTCTCCATCAAATACCACAAGTGCTCGTACGGCGCTGTGTCAAAGCCAATGTGACCGGCTACAGGGTCACTGACCACTCACTCCTGTAACTAGGGGTGAGTATCTAACGGAGGACAGATG